GTAAAATTTCCAAACGTTCTTTGCAAGCAAGCTATTTGCATGACAAGGCACTGCAAACTCTATTCAGGGGAGATAATAGAATTTCAAAACTTTACAATTGGTCCAATAAACCAGTGAATGCAAGCGAGGAGCAATTAGTTTCAGAGTATTGCGTCTTTTTCTATTTGAGTGTACTCCTACGTTTATTTTGTATCATCAACACTCTGCACGTTGGAGTGGACTATTTAATTATTTTTTATTATGCCGAATATTGGGGGGGGTTGAAATTTTTTTTGGAGGGGTGGACATTTTGTTTGGGGGGGTTATAGCTAATATTGGGGGGTAGCACCCCCCTGCACCCCCCCACAAAATCCGTCTATGTTTGCAATGCCAATGGGATCAAATCTGCCAAGAGTGGCATCCAGCTATTATAGCAACCACAATCAGACCAGGAGCAATTTGTCAACCAGTCCTATGTATACAACCCCATCTGGACATCAACCCACAGTCCCGTTGATTAATACAAGACCTTCCCACCAAGATTCCACCATTCGGCTAAAAAGGATGGCCCTACCCACATTCTCCGGACTTAGGAAAGACTGGCCAGAGTTCAAGGCAGTCTGGAAGTCGATGGCTGAGTCTGCAAGTTATAATAAAACTGCATTAGCACACGAACTTAAGAACTCAGTTAAAGGAGAAGCCAAACACCGCATCAAATCTGTTTTTGTCACCAAGCCCGAAGCTTACGACATCATGTGGGAAAAGCTAGAGTGTCACTATGGAGATACTACTGCTAGTGTACAAGCTGCTTTGGAAGATCTTCAAAGGCTAAAACCTGTAAAAGAAGATTATAAAGCTCTGGTTGAATTAGTGGATGAAGTTGAATCTGCCTACAGTCAATTGGAAGAGCTCGACCAGCTAAACACTTTAACCATGCGAGATGTAGACAACCTAACTGATTTGTTACCTACCCATCTTAAAGTCGACTGGAGACGAAAGTATCGTGATTTATCGTCTGCCGAGAAGCTTCAACCATTTACTCCGCTAATGAAGTTCCTAGACAGAGAACGTTCAGTTGTGGCTCGTTTAGCAGAGAATCAGCATTCTAAGAAAAGAGGAAATGACAATGCAAGAGGATACAGCAAAACCTATCATGTTGAAAGAGGTGCAAAACACGGACAAAGAACCTACTACAAGTGTGCCTTCCCCACCCACAGAAAAGACACCATAAATCACACCACCGAACAGTGCAAAGAATTCCAGAAGTTGTCCATCAGCGGTAAAGATGACAGATATGAGTTGTTGAAGCAGGTAAACGCTTGTTTCAAATGTTTTGGTAATCATAGGAAGCTTAACTGCCCCAAAAAACTCCCATGTTCCTCATGTGGAAGTGACCAACATCATTCCCTGCTGTGCATCCCACCAAAGCTCCCAAAAGATTCCGGGGAGAAATCGAAAACTGGAGATGATGGGAACAAGGAATTAGCATCCTATACCGTAGAAAGTGATTCAATGGCATTATACCCTATCCACCAAGCGACCATTAGTGACAGTGGTAGAAAAGTGTCCGTCTTCTGTGATGGAGGCTCTAACGCAAGTTATATCACTCATAGTGCTGCGGAAAGAATAAAAGCAAAGAAAGTTAAAAAACTCTCTCTTGACGTGACAACTATGGGAAATGTCGAGAAAACGTACAACACGTGGCAATACGAGTTTCCAATCAACACAAGTGCTGGAAAGAAAGTCACTATTACGGCCTTTGGCATGGAGCGAATTACTGGACAAGTAAGCAAACTGGATCCTAAAGTCCTGGTCAAGTTATTTCCAGAATATGATCCTGAAACACTCCAGCGAAAGTCAACACACGTGGATGTCCTGCTGGGCTGTGATTACTTCGGTCTCCATCCAAAGCAAGAAGAAGCTAGATGTGGCGACAATCTAAGTATCATGAATGGAGCATTGGGGATTTGCCTCCAAGGCGCCCATCCAGATCTGATCGAAGAAACAAGATATGACACCAACCTCGCAAAGAAAATACACGATGTGAACGTGAAAGTGGAGACATACAAGACACGCTTGAACTCACATCCAGAGTTCCATCCCAACCATACCAGAGAATGTTCTGTTAATGTATCGAGTTCCTATAGTCACCGAAAGGACGAAAGCCAGATTGACAATTTTATACAAGGAGAAGAACTTGCCACCGAAATTTCTCCACAATGTGGTGGATGTCGCTGTAATAAGTGCCCTACTGTCGGACACACTTACTCTTTCAAGGAAGAACAGGAATTAAAACTGATTCAAGAAAACCTCGAGTATGACGAAGTTAACCAATGCTGGATAACCAGTTATCCCTGGCTCGTAGATCCACAAAGTTTACCCGACAATTATCACACAGCACTTGCTACGTTAGAAAGAACTGAAAGAACGCTTAAGAAAGATGACCAATGGGCTAAGACGTACAAGAGCCAAATGGACGATCGTTGTGTAGCAAGAAAACTAGCATCCGAAGAAGTAAAGAGCTGGACTGGCCCGGTGTTCTATATCTCCCATTTAGCAGTTGTAAACCCGCATTCCAATTCTACGCCCGTGAGAATTGTGTTCAACTCCAGCCAAACCACAGAATAGGAAGTTATACCAGAAGCGTAACTCGAGCAAATATTTGTCCGCGTTTTTACAAGCGATTCGTCATCAATCACGCCATCCTGGCTAGTACAACCGGCACTTTGTACCTACCAAATCCTGATAAAACTTCCGGCTGTACTAGCCAGGATGGCGTGGCCTGACGTGAGCGAGTTAAAATTTTCGTGGACGTCAAACAATAAGGGAAACGACTAGAGTTACGCTTCTGGTATAACTTCCTATTCTGTGGCCAAACGCACAAAGGTGTTTCATTAAATGCTTGTCTCGCAAAAGGTCCAGACAGCTACATGAACAACTTGGTTGGTATTCTTCTACGTTGGAGAGAAGAGTAGCGCTAATCGGAGATATTCGAAAGATGTTCAACTCGGTTTATTTGAAGGCCTTGGAACAGCATTGCCACCGTTTCCTATGGCGAGATTTACAGCAGCATCGCCCACCGGACATTTACGTAATACAACGAGTCAATATGGGCGATACACCAGGCCCCGCCATCAGCACAGAAGCTGTCTACAAGACCGCGGAGTTGTATCGAGAGGATAGTCCACAAGCCGCAAATCTCCTAAAACATTCCAGTTACGTGGATGATTTGATTGACTCACGGCCAAGTAAACCCGACGCGTTAAAGATTGCCAAGGAAGCCGAGGATATCCTTGCCAAAGGAGGATTTGCTGTAAAGTGCTGGCAATTTAGTGGCGAAACACAACCTCGCGTGAAAGAAGAGTTGTTAAAATTGGACCTGCCAGAAAAGAGTGTTGAAAGCTCAGACCAAGGACTAATAATGTTCAAAGGAACTGACGAAAACTTACGAGTGCTCGGTCTGGGATGGAATCCGAAGCAAGACACCATCACCAATGAAGTAACTTTGAATTTCAGTAGCAAGAGACGCGGAGTTCGAACCGGTCCAAACCTGCTAGAAAGCGACCTACCAAGTGCATTACCGAATGTGTTAACCAGACGAATCGTTCTTGAGCAAGTAATGAAGATTTATGACCCACTCGGATTAATTTCTCCATTCACATTGATGGGCAAGATATTCTAACGCGAAACCTGGTCCCGCAAGCTCGGATGGGATGACCCACTTCCAGCAGAACTTTGCAACAAATGGTCCAATTTCTTCACTGCTCTTTTCAAACTTCAGCGTTTGTGTTTGGAGCGATGCTTACGACCTGTGAATAGCAATGGACGCCCTTGGTTAATAATCTTGAGCGATGGTAGTGATCTCGCGTATGGCTTCGCAGCTTACATTCGATGGAAATTGGATGATGGAAGCTACTGGTGTAGGTTGATCATGGCGAAGTGTCGTATTGCTCCAATCAATAAGTTATCTACCCCTCAGATGGAGTTAAACGCAGCTGTTCTGTCGAAAAGAGGAAGAAAGGTCATCGAGAAAGAAATGAGGTTCGACTTCGAGAGAGTTTTACAAATCGTGGACTCAGAAACAGTCTTGAGTATGATCCACAAGACAAGCACACGTTTCAAAGTTTACGAGGGAGTACGAATCGGAGAAATCCAAGCAGCAACTGAAGGAGATCTGACTTGCTGGGCTTGGATGTCTGGCCAACATAATACAGCTGACTGGTTGACACGCGGCAGAGCACCAGAGGAGCTGAACAACGATTCTCATTGGTGGAATGGACCGCCGATTCTATACCGACCGATAGAAGAATGGGGATTAAAGTTTAACCCAAAGAAAGAACCACTCCCCGGTGAAAAGAAAGTCCATGTTGTAGCAGCAGCAGCGAGCGTAGAGGCATTGTTGATCGACTATGAAAGATTCAGCAATATCAACAAAGCTATTTGGGTCGTCGCGAGATTGCTAAACATTGCGAAGAAAAGTTTTAAAGGCGGAAGGACTCTGTCCATCTCGGTTAAGCAATTACAAGAAGCCGAGAACTTTATTGTTAAAGAAGTTCAGAAATCATTTGAAAGTGAACTGACAAAAACTGACCGCAAAGGCAGAAAAGGTGGTCGTTTCGCTTGTTTGAATCCAGTCCAAGATGAAAGTGGACTCTGGGTAGTGGGACAGCGCCTGAAAAACAAAAATCCCATGACAGTGGATTCTTCGCTGCAAAAGCTATTGCCCTACCGACATCATGTTACCAGACTCTTCATGCAACGAGCTCACACTTCTGGTCATAGAGGGCGTGATGCAACCTTAGCACGATTCCGTCAACTCTACTGGGTAACCCAAGGAAGCAAACTCGCTCAATCAATCAAGAGTAAATGTCAGATGTGTAAGCTACGAGAAGCAAAGTTCCTCGAGCAGCAAATGGGACAATTACCGGAAGCAAGATTGAAACCATCTCCAGCTTTCAACCACGTTATGATAGACCTTTTCGGACCCTACTCGGTTCGTGGAGAAGTACAGAAAAGAACAAGTGGTAAAGCGTACGGAGTAATCTTCACAGATCTAGTTATGAGAGCAGTCCACATTGAAGCTGTGTTCGGGTACGATACCGAATCATTCCTAATGGCCCTCAGCAGATTCGTTAGCGTTCGTGGTTGGCCCGAAATCATATATAGTGATCCCGGATCACAACTAATTGGTGCAGAAAGAGAACTCACGGAAACCTGGAAGAGCATTGACCGACAATCCCTACATAAAAGTGGCACAGAGAATGGATTGACCTGGATCTTCGGCCCCGCTGATAGTCCTCAGTAAACACGAAGCTCTAGGAAGATGTTCTGTGACTGGTTGATCATGACAATGACAAAAGACGTAATTTGGCCTACATAAACAAAAGGAATATTGTCCTTGCTTCGTTCTTTAGAAAATCCATTCTATAGCTTTAATATTGTCATTGACTCATTGTTATAATCAACCAATCACAGAACATCTTCCCAGAGCTTCGTGCTGACCCATAGTCCTTGGTACCAAGGAGCTGTTGAATCCCTGGTGAAGAGTGCCAAGAGAGCTATTCATTTCGCAATCAATAACCAACGTCTTTCAGTCCAAGAGTTCATGACGGTGTGTAGCGAAGCCACGAACCTCCTCAATGAAAGACCTATCGGAACCCTCCCGGGCGCTGATTCCGAATTAAACATCCTTACTCCCAACAGCTTGTTACTGGGCAGAGCAACGGCGAAGAATCCTGGTGGATGGCAGCCTAACGGTAATAATCCAGGAAAGCGTTATCATGTTGTCCAGATCGTGACAGACGAGTTCTGGAAGAAATGGACGGAGTTATACGCCCCAGCCTTGGTTATTCGTCGCAAGTGGAATACAGCCAACCGTAACCTGCGCCCAGGAGATGTTGTAATAATCGCCGACCGTAATACCTTGCGAGGATATTACCGTTTAGGTATAGTACAAGAAGTGTTTCCCAGTCAAGACGGAAAAGTTCGTCGAGTAAATGTCATGTACAAGAATTTTCAAATTGGAGAAAAGGTACAAAAATACAAAGGACATAACGAGGCTGTCATTGTGTCACGAAGTGCTCAGCGATTATCGTTATTAGTACCCGTGGATATGAATCAAGACCAGGAAACCAAGTCGGAAGCAAAAGAGAGTGTATGAACGGACAGTGACATTATTATAGTATTGAGTGAACAATGCATTAGAGAAATTTACATTCAGATTTTAAGACGCGATCGCATCGACCCCAGTCCTTCCGGTGTATTGGGATGTAGACAATAATCTCTGCGATCGCCTTTTGGACGATGTTTATTTACGTTTCGTTAGAGCATGCGCATGAGACCTAAGATGGCGTGCGAAGGAAAACAGTGTTTTACCTAAATTTACTATTTTGTAATTTTCCATATATTTTGATAATTAAAGTGAGTTGAAACCTGTTTTTCGCCTCATTTACTGGCAATCCCAGTACATATAGTAACATGGCAACACATTGTTTTCTTCATTATATTTTTCTGTTTTAGTCACTAGATTTTTAAGACATGGCAAGTAAAATACTTTTAAACAGAACATCATCAACATTTGATTCAAGAATGTAAATTCCTTGTGTAAATTTATGGTGTGAACCAATTCTTGAACGATTGTGATAAATATCGAACTCTACGCAAAAACAAACTAAAATATCGTCGAAAATCTCAGGGTTTACTCGTATATAAAACTCGTATAAAAAAATATAAAACTACATCACAAAAAAAACATGTCTTCGCGCAACTTGTTCTCAGGGAAGCCTGAGTTCTACCTTCAAGTTAAGGTGTCTCTCGCACGTTTTTAACAGTCTTCATAACAGTCCCGGGGTTGGTCACCCACGGTGAACAAACAACTAAAAATAAACAAGTTCATTAAGTAAGATATAACTAGTGTTTATGGGTTTTTTCTTCAGACTTATCTTAGTCCAACTTGCTTCGAACTTCCAAAGGCACGAGGTGTTGAATCGGTCTTCGCAATTATTATTATTATTATTAAGTCTTTATTAAACATAGCCACAACAGACGTGTGACTTTACATTTAAAATTCTCATATACAAGGTTCCAAAAAAAATAAACTTAATTATTATTATGTATCTAAGTTAATTATTCTTAGGTAGAATTATTAAAAGACTAAGACTAAGTTATTATTATGTATCTAAGTTAATTATTTTAGCTAAAATTGTTAAAAAGACACCTATTTAAAAACGACCGTTTGAATCTTTCTGTTTTAACCTTAGGTAATATGAAATCGTGTTCGCGTTCTCTTAACGGTCTTTGTC